AATTAGCGACTTTCAGAACCGAAAGGGGAGAAGTCGTAGAAATAGGCTCACATGAGATAGATTATTTCGTAATTGAATATTCTATAGGTTTTTGGTTGAAATACGTGCGAGTCGATGACCCGTCCCTTGTTAGTAAAGTTATTGGGACTGGATCATTGGCCTGTTTTGTATGCTTCAGCTTGTTCGTCTATGTTCAATCCCTTGTTACGAAGAGTTATTGGGAGCGAACCGCTAGATGTTTAAGCGAGAGTGTCAATCTCGAACCGAACAATTGATAACCCGACTTTGCTAGAACTTGAATTAATTATCCCCGATTCCCTAGCTTCTCCATCTTCGTTTCATTCACATTTTTAGGTAGATTTACATTTTTGCATTGTTATTCATTTCATAGTTGATAATTATCCAATCTGCTATCTCGTTAGTATGTTAGGATTTTATTTTCTTTTATGTATTATCAATATCAAAGTTAAATTCCGAACAGCCTTCCTCGTGAGATCGACCCAGAGAACGAATCTTAGATTCGGGACTCGGTAAAAAGAATAGTTTGTACACAACAAATTTGAGGGCCCTAGGTCCCGAGAAAATACCCAATCTCCTCTTAGTCCCTTCTTTCTTCTTCTTCTTCGATCTTTTTCTTCTCTTAATCTTTATTTTCTATTTTTTATCTAAAATTTGTTCTTGCTTTTGGGATTAGGCTTGTAATTCATGTTCAACCCGTGGATTTGAGATTATTGGTAATTTTCTTTTCTCTTCTATTTAACTCATGAATAATGGTTGAATTTGGAGAATTTATTATGGTTGTTGAATTTGATTTACGTAGCTAATTTCTGTCGCTAGGGATAGGGGAATGATTGTTCTTGTTTGAATTGTATCTTGTCGGGCTTCGATTCGTTCATACTTATGTGTGTTGTTTGGATAAGGAATTGATGAATTTGTATTCGATAGATTGATATAATCGAAAAGTGACATTTCGATCTTGCTATTGGTGACAGTTGGATGTTAATGTGTCGAGTTAGGGTTTATCAGTTTTATATGATTAGTTGATTGAACACCTTCTAATTGACTTAGAGGCTTTCAGAATCGAAAGGGGAGAAGTCGTAGAAATAGGCTCACATGAGGTAGATGATTTCGTAATTGAATAGTCTATGTGTTTTAGATTGAAATACGTGCTTGTCGATGACCCGTCCCTTGTTACGAAAAGTTATTGGGATTGGGATAATTGGCATGTGTTGTATACTTGAACTTGTTCGTCTATGTTCAATCCCTTGTTACGAAGAGTTATTGGGAGCGAACCGCTAGATGTTTCATTCACATTTTAGGTAGATTATGCTTTTTATTATTTCTTAGCTAATAATTTATCAAACCCGCTATCTGATTAGAATGTTTAGGATTTTATTTTCTTTTATGTGTAATCGATACCAAAGCTGAATTCCGAACCGCCTTCCTCGTGAGATCGACCCGGGAAACGAATCTTTTGATTCGGTACTCGGTAACAAGAATAATTTGTACACAACATTAGGGATCATGGTGGAGCACTCATCTCTGTCTTCCATGGGCCACTCCGGGCCTCCTCGCGTTATGATGCTGAGATTCAGGCGCTCCAGATTGGTCTTGAGATTGCCGCCTCGATCTCCTCCCATATCTGGATAGAGATGGATGCTGCAGCTGTCATCACACTTTTGACTTCTGGCCACCAGGGCTCATGACAGATCCAGCATCCTCTTATGTGCATCAGAGACACCCTCCGCTCGATTCATTACCAGGTCTCACACATATTCCGGGAGGGGAATCGGGGCGCTGATTTTCTTGCTAGCAAGGGGGCATCTATACCCAGAGACGCACCCTTCTTCCTGAGAACATTCCCCTCCGGCTTCCAACGCTCATTCGGATGGACTAGCTAGAGTACCCATCCTTCAGATTCGGTCGACCGCCACCACCTGCCCCTGACTAGATTTGACTTTTTGGACCCCATGCCAGGTCACTCTAACCAGGATGACCTTTTATGAGGATTTGATTTTAGATCCACATCGGATATTTTTGTGATCCTTGTACTTTTATTTTTCTGTGTTTTGATGTTGCTCTATGTATTTTCGACTTTGATGTAGACTATTGACTTATTAGCCCTCTCTGGGTCATTATATTCACAGGTCGGGGTGCAGCCTCAACCCCCATTCCATTCTGGGATGTTTATATATAAAAAAAAAAAATGTTCAAAAAAATACATCACCAATGTGTGTTTGTCACATAAACGGTGGACATATTAATATGTGCCCACGGAACATTACTGTGAAATTTATTTATAAAAATAAACGCAGTGTTCATAGTCAAAAGCTTATCCGTTTCTTTGTGTTTATTTACATGGCTTTTTAGCCTTTGGCCCGTTCCATATAAAAGTCACGTTACGATTTTGCTAGGACTCTGCTCATATAATAGAAGATCATATTAAATTGCCGATAAAAACAAAGATTTTAGGTAGTGGCAGTGCCCACGCATTTTATATTTTACACAAAAAAAGTGTACGTTTACATCACGTCTTGCTCGTGAGCTGTGATTTGTTGAGCAGTCCTCCATTAATGGTTCTTCTGAGAAGCCACAAAATCAAAAAACGTGATTGTTTTCTTTTGGAGCGGCGGGGGAGTGTGCACAGAGCCTGAAACACCGTCGATCAACGGCCCAAAATTTAATCTTTTCAAGAAAAAAAGTGACAAAAAGGTAGGTTTCTCTTCAAACCCATTAACATCCTTTCTTTTTTATCTGCTATCTTTCTTTTCTTTTTCCATTTTTGTTTATCAGTAGACTCTAAAGATAATTGTTTTCTTGGTAATGGGCATTCGTGCTTGTGCTTTTAGGCTTTGGTATTGTTGGGCTGCCGAAAAAAAGAAAAGAAAAAAAAAAAAAAAACAGAGCTTTTTGAGAAATTTTTACATGTTCCATGCATTTTCAAATTGACCAGCGCATTCTGTTATAATTTTTGTGAATTTAAGCTGTTACAATTCCGTAATCCTTGTTCGCTGCTACCTTAATCTTGTATCTGTCTGTAGCCGAGGCTTTCTGGTGTGGAGATATTCCGATTGATGGGCCATATGTGAAATCGTGTATGGTGTTCACAATTATCTGTGTTATGAGTTTTTACTTTGATCACAAGAAATCTGATATTTAGTTAATTTTCAGCTTTCAAATGCTGTCATAATTATTTTCTGCACTTTCTGTACCTCATTTTTGCCGATCACAAAAAAGAATTACAAAAATGAACTAAATTAAATGCCAATTGTGTCCTGTAGGGCCCACATAACCAGCCATGCTTGGAAATGGAGTTATCGGGATTTTATCCGAGTCCACGAACAAGTGGGAGAGAAGGGTGCCCCTAACCCCTTCACACTGTGCACGTTTGCTCCACGGAGGGAGCGGGAAAATGGGGGTGACCCGCATAATTGTACAGCCGTCCACAAAGCGCATTCATCACGATGCACTTTACGAAGATGTCGGGTGTGAGATTTCCGAGGATCTGTCCGAATGTGGTTTAATTTTAGGCATCAAACAGCCACAGGTGATTGCATTGTATTTGATTGAGCATTAATAGTGACCTCTTGTGATGGTGATGATGGAATCGAGATAATTCATTATGTTTTCTTCTCGTGCAGCTGGTGATGATACTTCCCGATAGGGCGTATGCATTTTTCTCACATACGCACAAGGCACAGAAGGAAAATATGCCTCTTCTTGATAAAGTGAGATTTTTTAGAACACAAAGAGAATCTTTTGGTCAGGATCTTTGTTTGTTGGGTTATTTTGTTATTTTTTTTACTTGATTCTTTAGGTTTTGGCAGAGAGAGCCACTCTTTTTGACTATGAGCTTATAGCCGCTGACCATGGTAAAAGGTTACTGGCATTCGGGAAATTTGCTGGAAGTGCTGGGATGATTGATTTCTTGTCTGGACTAGGAAAGCGTATGTATTTTTTTTATCGTTTCTTTAAGAGATCGAGAACCTAGATCACTTATAGTTTTTCATTTCAAAACATTAGGATATTACTTTGAGTTCCATGTGCAAAATTTGAACATCTCTCTTATTCATCTGTCTTTGAGTTTTCATAACAAGTGAGTGATAATACTTTCTGGAACCACCTGTACAGCATATAGAATTGTATAAATACTATTATTATTTGTTTTGCCAGGGTATCTTAATCTTGGATACTCGACACCCTTTCTCTCACTGGGCACATCTTACATGTATTCTTCACTGGCTGCTGCTAAGGCTGCCGTAATCTCTGTGGGTGAAGAGATTGCTACAATGGGACTTCCATCAAGAATCTGCCCACTCGTTTTTGTTTTTACTGGTGCGGGAAATGGTATGGACTGATTGCTGGTATGCTTTTAGCTTATCGATTTCGTTATTGTTTTTCCTTTTTTAGTTTCGTATGAGAACTCACAGTAATTGATTGTGCTGCTTAACATTTTCATAAACTAAGGTGCATGCCAATCAACTTCATTTTTCCGTGAGATGTTTCCTACTTCCCTTAAGCATGGTTCGTTGAGTCATACTGGACTTCAACCAATAGATATTATATTTGTCAGTTTATAGGCTGTCTAGCATTGGGTTGGTTCTGTAATTGTGTGTGATGAGAAAAATCGAACAAACTGAGTGATATTTTCTTTGTTGGGATGCCTTTTGCTACTTTCTGCAGTTTCTCAAGGAGCAAGAGAGATATTTAAGCTTCTTCCTCACACTTTTGTCGAACCCAGCAAACTTCCAGATCTTTTTGAGGTGTTAATTAAATGTTATATTCTAGGCCAGTTACTTTGTATAGTTAAACAACTTAGCTAATTGTATGTGGTTGCTTGAAGTTCCAAAGGTCATTGCCGATTTTGATTTTCTGCCTGATAATCTTACGCTTAAACATAAGCTTTTCATGCTTCTAGGCCAATGATCATACTCATGACAGACGAACTTCCAAAAGAGTTTTTCAAGTATATGGTTGTGTTGTGACTTGTGAAGACATGGTGGAACACAAGGACCCTAACAAAGTCTTTGATAAGGTGGGTTTATTATTTTCATTTGTCCATTTTCTGATAATCCTAATGATAAGTTTGCCAATAACCACAGTCGTGCTTGGAAGAAAACTGTAGTAATTTACAGACTGCGAGTTGTATTTTAAAATGCTCAGATATTCATATTGGATCTTACTCTAACTGCACCTCTTTCATTTTTTTTTTTATTTTTTTTTTATTTTTTTATTTTTTTTCAGTTTTGCAAATAGTAGTTTAAACTGTTTGATGAAATATGAAGAATGCATTGCTCGGATAACTTTCCTAACGTTTGTTTATTCTTTTCTTATCAGTCAGAGTATTATGCACACCCGGAAAACTATTCACCCATTTTCCATGAAAAGATAGCCCCCTTCACGTCTGTAATAGGTGGGTGTATCATATCTCTCTCTTTGTAAATGGTATTGTAAGTTGGCATTTGTAACTGTGGTGGTTTTAATTTTACGACAGTCAATTGCATGTATTGGGAAAAAAGGTTTCCTCGTTTATTGACTTCCAAACAGTTGCAAGAACTGATGAGGAAAGGCTGCCCTCTAGTCGGGATCTCGGATATAACTTGTGATATAGGTGGCTCCGTAGAATTTGTGAATCAAACTACATCAATCGACTCACCTATCATACGGTACTTATACACTGACGATGTATTTAATCCCTTTTTTCACACATTGAATAAAACATCAATAGCTGTTGGGAAAGATGATCTTTCTGAGTATTTTCCAATTTTAGTCTTCACGTTAATAACTCTTATACTTTTATGTTTCTATTTTGTCAGTAAGCATGCAAGTCAGGTAACAGAATAACTGGATCGTATTGTCTTTAACTACTCTATATAAAGAAAGAAGCCATAGTTGTGGAACAAATGAAAATATGTACTAAAGCTATGTTAGGTATTTCTATTCTTTCTTCTTTTTGTGTCTTCTTTATAACTGGTTGAAAAAATGGCATTTAGGTATGATCCGAATGATAACTCGTACCATCATAACATGGAAGGCAATGGCGTTATATGTTCAGCTGTTGACATTCTTCCAACGGAGTTTGCCAGAGAAGTATTAGTTTTGACCTATCTTTGAGCTTCTTATTTTATTTTATTTTATTTTTTTGTCTAAATATTTCTTGGACTGGATTTATGTTAATTCTGCTAACTGTATATATAGGCTTCCCAACACTTCGGTGATATTCTATCCCAGTTTATTGGAAGCTTAGCTTCCTTGAAAAACCTTGAAAAATTACCCGCACACTTAAGGAGAGCTTGCATAGTCTATAAAGGAGCACTGACCTCCTTGTTTGAATACATTCCTAGAATGAGAAAATCTAATACTGAGTAAGTTTTCCATTTAGTTCTCTTCTACCTGATTTAGATATTTGATCAGTTCATTTGCTATTAAAGCACGTGACGTGTGTTAGCCTTTTGGTGTTAAACTTGTCTGGTTTTTTCGTGTTCGTTTTATATATCTTTGCAGGGATTCATCACAAGCTCCACAAACTTCGCAGCCCACAATGAAATTCTCTAAACTGGTATTCTGTTTCTTTCAGTTAAGCATGACTTATAATCATTGTAATCTACTTTTCTCATGGAGATGTGAGGCATAGATTATCATTTCAAAGGAAAGTGTTTTAATTTATTCTTGACAAACTTTCCAATGACAAAAATATATTTTTCCTATTAATTGGGTTTAAGAGAAGTTTTGAATACAACAAATATCTAATCTTTTTCCGTCTATTCTACTCTTGGTTGACATCACTTGTGCCCGTCCGTGTGATCATGTAGATATCTCTGAGTGGCCATTTGTTCGATCAATTCCTGATAAATGAGGCTTTGGATATCATTGAAGCAGCCGGTGGCTCCTTCCACTTGGTCAAATGCCAAGTCGGTCAAAGCACGGATGCTATGTCTTATTCAGAACTTGAAGTAAGTCTAAATCTATATCTATCTATAACTCCCTTAAAAGTATGAGTTGTTTCTTGAAACTTTTGAATTGCCAAGAATATCCTCATAAAAAGATAAGTGTTAAGGTTATTAATGTAATTTTCTTATTCATACTAGGAAGTTACAACTTTTAATTATTATATTTTACTTTTAATTCTTAATTATATCTTTAAGTTCTTACACATACAAAACATTACCTACACAAATTAATATATTTTAAATAATAATTTATTCTTAATTATATTATTCTGAATTAATCTACATATGATGTTAGGTTTCGATTTGATTATTTTAAAGGCATTTTAAAATGTAAGAGAAAAATTATTTTAAGATTACTTAAATAAAATATATGATATTTCATAAGTGTGAATTATATAATGCACCACTAAAAGTATCATCTTTAATTTCTAAATATTATATTGTTTACCATACAAATTTTTTATTATAGTATTAAAACAATTAAACAGGAACAATTTAGTGAACATGCATATGTTTAAGAATGATTGAATCAAATATAATTATTCAACATACAAAATGTCAACTTTCTATGGAAAAAAGTTATTTGTTAAGGAAAAAAGATATGATCTTAACATATATATTTGTTTAAATTATTCACTAAAACAACATGCATAATATGATTTATGTTTACCTCTTAATAGTATGTATAGTATAAATGTCTTTTATAATAATGTGTTACATGAATTAAAATAACATTTACTGAATTTTAATATAAACAAAAATAGATTAATTACAGAAATAAAATAAAATAAGTAAAATTCAATTTTGAATCTTGACTTTTATAATACGTGTACTCATTAGAAAATAGTTACAATTAAAATTAATAAAATAAAAATAAATAGTGAATTTACTTTAAATATGAATCATTCATTAAAACTAGATTCATTAAATTTTCACATTTAGGATAGTCTTGAAAATCTGGGAACGAAGATAATGCATGTATGACAATTTTAGGAGATGCAACAATAATTTATGTTGGACAAGATATGTAGATAGATGAGTATCTTTAATCAATAAAGATGTTATTATTCCTAAGCTTTTTCATGTAATTATTTTTTTTTAAATAATTATGACTTTAAAGACATTTTCAAATATTTATGTGTCTCTTATGTCATTATGACTAGAGAAAAATTATATATATCTAGGTATTATGAAATGTTATACTTGCAAATATGGCTAATTGCAACCACTATAATCAAAATAATTGAGAACGAATTATTCAAACATAATGTTTTAGCTTCCAATCTATAATAAAAAAATGATCATTATAAATTATAGTTATAACAAATTCGAATTATTTTTCAAAGAGTATGATGCAAAATGATGACATTAGAAAACTATATTTGATGACAATATTAATGATAATTATTTTAAGCAAAAGTAGGGATGAAATGTTGACGAAGATATAAAAATAATGTTAAGATAAAAAAAAAAAATGAAAGAATCATCATTACATAATTCATTTAAACTGGAATTAGTAATTATTCACATTTAGGATAGTCTTGAAAAAATTCGTGAACGAAGATAATGGATGCATGACAATGTTAGGAGATGCAACAATAATTTATGTCGGAAAAGATATATAGATAGATGGGTAGCTTTAATCAATAAAGATGTTATTATTCTTATGCTTTCCAAGTAAATTTTCTTTTTGAAATAATTAGTTAATTACGACTTGAATTAAAGACATTTTCAAATATTTATGTATCTCTTATGTCAATATGACTAGGGAATAACTATATATATCTAAGTATTATGAAATATTATACTTGCAAATATAATTACACTAGCAACCACAGTAATCAAAATAATTGAGAACGAATTATTTAGACATAGTTTGTTAGTTTCCAATAGACAACAAATAAATAATAATCATTATAAATTATAGTTATAGCAAATTTGAGTTATATTTCAAAGAGTATGATGTAAAAGGATGACATTAGAAAGCTATATTATGAAGATACACCATTTTTTGTTAACCTAAATTAAAGAAAAATATATTATACTTTTAAATATAAACATAATACTAAAAATAATTTGAAAACAAAAAATACCACGTGCGTAGCACGTGCATCTTCCTAGTTAATTATAATGTCGTCAGTCTTTGATTACATGTTGTCACATGGAAGATTTGTGAAAGATTGATGCAATTTTTTTTTTTTTTCCCCGCTTTTTCATCCTATTTTATGTGGTTTGTATAGTGATAAATGTAACAAACTTCTAATAGTAGGAAAGAAATAAATCTAAGATGTTGACCCAAAACTGAATCACTACCAATAACCAAACCATGTGAGATCTTCTTTGTGTCCCAATGCCTACGTATGATATCCCGAGGAAGTTAATATGAGTACCTTATATATTTCATCATTAGAAATTATATCCATATGCAGAAAGGTGGTATTTTTTGTCCCTTCTTTGTTTACTCAGTTACAAATACTCCCAACAGATCAGTGCAGATGACGAAGCAGTTCTTGTTAAAATTATTGATTCTTTGACCTCACTTGCGAATTCGAGTGAGAGTCAAGTAGACAGTAACCAAAATATGATATCACTAAAGATGGGCAAATGCGAGGAAACTGGACTTGAGAAGGAAAATGGGATAAAAAGTGAAGCTGTGGTCCTCATTTTAGGCGCTGGCCGAGTTTGTCGACCAGCCGTGGAATTTCTAACATCACTAAATCATGGTTCATCAAAAAAATGGTTCAACTCAGACATGATGGATGATTTGAAGGACAAGTCTGTTCGTGTTATTGTTGCTTCTCTTTTCCTGAAAGAAGCAAAAGAGGTTAGTCCAACATATCGATTTTCATCTTCTAGTTGATGATGTTATGACTTAGTATAATTGTAGAGATGATAAAATATTAAATGGACAAGTAAAAGCAGATATTGATATTATGAAATGGAATAGAATACCGAAGGAATTCTGCATGCAACAGCAGTTCAGCTGGATATTACGAATACAGACGACCTCAATAACTACATTTCACAGGTAATAGCTTGTGTGTGGATAATAGAATTGCCTGAAAAACCCAGTTTTTACCTATAAAAAAAAATATAGTTGCTGTTTTCGTAACTTAATTGTAAGTTTTGTTTCTTCATTTGGATTGAAAAGCTTTTTCGTTTTTTGAAGGTTGATGTGGTGATCAGCTTACTGCCTCCTAGTTGCCACAGTATCATAGCAAGTGCGTGTATTCAGGTATAGATTCTCATAGATTTAACTAACAGACAATAAATCATGTAATATTGTATAGATCATGAATCTGATCCCATATGTCTTTTACTAACATAAATAATAATGATATGACTTTCTTAACTTAGTAGACAACTGCATTCATGTTTTTCTTTTTTCAATAAAAAAGATGTAGGAGTAGACAAGAAAAGAAAGAGGAATTTTATTCTTTCCACAAAAAGTAGCGAATTCTGAAAGGTGCAAGCATAGTGTACATCTTGTGTGCATTTGATGTGAATATGGCATCCTACATTTATCAGACTATGATACAACAGTCACTGATGCTAAGTTTTCTATAAAACAAATCGGCAGGCACAAAGTGAATTTAAGAAAACAGTTCTGCTGATTTGAAAAGGGACAGAATCACGATATGCTCAATCTAACTCTATAGGGAATTACGAACAGCGTCAAGATTATTCACAAGCTTGCTTTAGCTACTTGATCCGACAGACAATAACTGTAGTTTATCATTCTTTTTTTTCCATCCTCTTTTTTCTTTTCCCTTTTCGATTTCATATGTGTTTACCCTCTTTTTATAGAACATGTTACTTATGCAGTTCAAGAGACATCTTGTCACGGCTAGTTATGTGGATGATTCAATGTCCAAGCTGGATGAATTAGCAAAAAGCTCTGGTGTGACAATTCTGTGCGAGATGGGATTGGACCCTGGAATAGGTACAATTTTGTAGCACTTTATTATTTAATATACGGGGCTGTGATGTCATCAGTAATAGATGTGATGTAATTAAGCTGCTCTTTTACTTAGACCACATGATGGCAATGAAGATGATCGATCAAGCGCATGCACGAGGTGGAAAGATTAAGTCTTTTACTTCTTACTGTGGTGGGCTTCCATCTCCCGATGCTGCTAACAACCCATTAGCTTACAAATTTAGGTCTGATTTTACATATGAAGTTTCCAATATTGGTGACATCGTAAATTATATTAGTGTTATAATGGCCAATATTGAATTGTTGTAGTCATATAACGTCTACAATTTTTCTTTTGGCCTTATGGAAGCATGATAATAGGAAATAATGCATATCTTTTCCTGTACTATTTCAGTTGGAGTCCTGCAGGTGCTATACGAGCTGGCCGCAACCCAGCCGTATACAAATATAATGGAGAAATTATTCATGTCGATGGTAATTTATTTTTTATTTTTTTTTTATTTTTTTT